GCCAAGAGATATTCAATGAACTTGTTATAAGTTCATCACATATCTCTATCTGTTTTGTGATAGATCTCCACTAACTTGATACACTTTATCAGATAGAGTTCAGTCTGGATAAACTCTATCTGCTAGAGCTCAGTGTAATCTAATCTCCTAATTGAGTACTGTACATAAACTCTAACTCTTGTATCTATAAATATATAAGGTTCGACTGATTCCCCATCGAACCATTCTCATTCAACTTAACTCTCCACTTTATTTCTTTAACTTGGTATCAGAGCCACATTACCATGGCTTCAATCAATAGTTCGATAGAAGGAGGAATCAATAGCCTAGGGTCGTTGACTTTAGAAGCTATTCCAGGTACACCAGGATCGATGTCCAACATCACTCATTATCTACCCATCAAGCTGAACAATGACAACTATCTCCTATGGCGTGCACAACTTCTTCCCATTCTCAGAACTCACAAACTTATGGGAATAAGGTAAAACCCCTGCACCTCCTGAAGAAATTGATGATCTAGAGGATGCTACAAAGAAAATTATCAATCTAGCATTTGATCATTGGTACCAACCAACTGGATCAGATGGTACTTAGCTAGATTGATTCATCCCTCACTGAAGGTATACTCGCTCAAGTTGTTGGTATGTCTTCGTTAGCTGAAGTATGGGGTGCATTGGAAGAGTCATTTGCTTCACACTCATGATCTAGAATTTTGCAATTAAAGAGACAACTCCAGAGTCTCAAGAAATGTACCATTTCCATTTCCAAATATATATAGAAAGCCAAAGGTATTGTTGGCAACCTTTTTGTTGTTTTTGAACCTATCTCCCGACAAGATCTTGTTATGTGTATTTTGAGTGGACTTGGATCTGAATATGAATCCATTATTACTACTATTGCTAATTGACTTGATTTTGATAAACTGAGAGTTTTTTATGTTGTTAGCCAATTACTTAATCATGAGTATTGGCTCCAAGAAATCACTATCTTAAGACAGATGATGGTGCCAATCTTGCTTCAACCAACAAAAATCATTCCCAACAATCCCAATGGTAGAGGATGCGGCAACATCATTGTTTGCCAACTGTGTAACATTCCTAGCCATGGTGTTTGGAAGTGTTAGCGTCATTTTGATATTTCCTATCTTGGTGGTGATCGATAGCCTGCTCAAAATCCTACTCCTGATCCAGTTGCTTTTCACACTAGTACCTTGTCTCAGTTTGACCTAGCTTGGTATCCAGATTCTGGAGCAATATATCACATTACATCCGATCTAGACAATCTTTAGATTCGATCAGACTATGGTGGGTTTGATCAGGTGAAAATCGGTAATGGCATAGGTTTGGAGATAAAAAATATTGGTTCTTTTGTTATTTCTCATAATGACCATAAATTTTATCTCGAAGATATTTATCATGTTCCCTCAATTACAAAGAATCTACTTTCTATCAGCAAGTTTACCAAAGATAACAATGTTGTCTTTGAATTTCATCATTCTCATTTTCTTTTGAAGGACCATATGAGGAGAGTTCTACTTCGCGGGCCCAATAAAGGTGGACTCTATCAATTTTCTACTTCAACATCTATCCCTTCTCCTCCGTCATCAAGTAGTACTGCATTTATTGGTGAGAAATCATTAGTTCGGATCTGGCATCATCGTCTTGGACATGCTTCCATTAAAGTGGTTCGGCGTGTGCTATCTCAGTTCGGTCTTCCCTACAGTGGTTTATTTAATTTACCAGTTTGCCATGCTTGTCAACTAGGAAAGAGTCATCGTCTTCCCCTCTCTGCTTCATCTACTTCTTATAGTCGTCCATTGGAATTGCTTTATTCAGATGTATGGGGGCCAACCCCAATTGAGTCCGATAATGGGTTTAGATATTATGTGTTATTTGTGGATGCTTTTTCTAAATTTTCTTGGATTTTTCCTATGCGTCAAAAGTCTGATGTATTTGATATTTTTCTAAAGTTTAAACAGCATGTTGAGATATTGTTTGATGAAAAAATTATATTTGTTCAGTCTGATTGGGGAGGGGAATACCGACAGCTCTCACAGTATCTCAATTCACAAGGCATCAGACACCGGCTCACTTGCCCTGAGCAGAATGGAACCGTTGAACGGAAGCATCGCCATGTGAGAGTGTCCACTCTCACCTTGCTGGCGTTTGCCTCTCTTCCCTAGAATTTTTTGTCTGATGCGACTAAAACTGCGGTTTTCTTGATTAACTGCATTCCTTCTTAGACTCTCAAAGGCAAGTCTCTATATGAAATTTTATTTAATCACACGCCAAACTACATTCTTCTTCACACCTTCAGTTGTGCTTGTTACCCATTTCTGCGACCGTACAATTGGGACAAGATGGACTTCATGTCATCTCTTTGCATTTTTCTAGGCTCCAGTTCCTCTCACAAGGGTTACCGCTGCTATGATGTCAAGACAAGTCGTCTCTATATTTGTTGCCATGTTATCTTTAATGAAGAGTTCTTTCCTGGTTTGCAACAATTGACATCATCTCCGGATTCTAATACTAATGGCATCACTTTCCTTCCATTTTGTATAAATCAGCAGAGGGGGTCTGCGCCTGCATCTCCTTCGGTGACATCTCCTGGGACTGATCATATGCCTTCTGCACACAGATTGGACAACTGCAACAATGACGCAGCAAGTGCTGGACTTGTTCCCACATCGGATGACCTGCCGCGCACTCGACCCTGCACTCATCCGGTTCATGATCTCTTAGACTCCACGCAACTGGTTCTTGCTCCTGATCAGCGAACTCACTCTATGATTACCCGGTCCATGTGGTCTGAGGCCTCTTTGGCCACCTGGTATCCTCTTCCTCTTTGTTATAATGCATCTGTTGTGGCTACTGAATCTGAACCCACTACTTACTCCCAAGCCTCTAAGCATCGTCATTGGTGTGATGCGATGTCCAAAGAGTTTCAGGCTCTTGTTAAAAATAAGACTTGGGACCTCGTACCATATCAATCTTCAATGAATGTGGTCGGCTCTAAGTGGGTATGTAAGATCAAAAGGAAACCTAATGGATCCGTGGGTCGCTATAAAGCCCGGCTAGGGCTTCACTCAGATACCAAGTGTTGATTTTTCTGACACCTTTAGTCCTATCATTAAACCTACCACCATTCATACTATTCTCTCTCTTGCGGTCTCCCATCAGTGGGTCATTCGACAACTGGACTTTGACAATGCCTTCCTCAATGGGATTGTCATTGAGAATATCTATATGCGGCAGCCTAAGGGTTTTGAAGATGTTGATCGCCTTACTCATGTGTGCAAATTATCCAAGGCACTCTAGATTCCGTACCTCTCGTTGTGATCCCTCTCTTTTTATTTACTCTCATGGTGATCATCGTATCTATTTATTATTATATGTAGATGATGTTATACTCACTGGGACTTCCCCAACACTCATTAAATCCGTGGTGACCAGTCTGGGCCGAATGTTTCAACTTAAGGATCTTGGTGACCTACATTATGTTTTGGGTAATGAAACTCATAGAGATCACACTGGACTTTATCTTTGTCAGTGCTGCTATATCATTGATCTGCTTCATCGTGTTGGCCTTGATGGTGCAAAGCCTCTCTCCACTCCCATGGTGGCGACTACTAAGCTCTCCAGGCTTCATGGCTCACCTCCCTCTGACCCATTTCAGTATAGGAGTATTGTTGGAGGACTGTAGTATCTCACTCTCACTTGTCCTGACATCAGCTTTGTAGTTAACAAGGCTTGCCAGTTTTTACATAGTCCCACAGGCGAACTTTGGATAGCAGTCAAGTGTATTCTTCGGTATCTTAAACATACCCTAGTTCATGCTTTATTCTTCTCCTCTCAATCCTCTATTCATCTCATTGCCTTCTTTGATGTTGACTGGGCTAGATGCCCTGATGACCTCCGGTTTACTAGCGGCTATTGTATTTATCTCGTCTATCACCTAGTGAGCTAGAGTGCCGAGAAGTAGCAAATAGTTGCCAGGTCCAGTACAGAAGCTGAATTCAGGTCTCTTGCAAATACTACTGAATTAATTTGGTTGGAATCTGTCTCCCATCAGCTCTGTCACTTTACTGTGATAATGTGGGAGCATGTTATCTTGTTGCTCATCCGAACTTGTGGTAAGTTCATCACATATCTCTATCTGTTTTGTGATAGATCTCCACTAACTTGGTAAACTCTATTAGATAGAGTTCAGTCTGGATAAACTCTATCTGATAGAGCTCAGTGTAATCTGATCTCCTAATTGAGTATTGTACATAAACTCTAACTCTTGTATCTATAAATATACAAGGTTCGACTGATTCCCCATCGAACCATTCTCATTCAACTTCTTTAACTCAAATACAATAAAAAGAAAAAAGGGAGGTCTTGAAAATAGAAAAATTGAATAAATTCAAGGAAAAGGAATCTCTGTCCATTCATACTTTATCTTAACTTTAATGTCGATGGAGAGAGTGATAAAAAAAATTTATTAGAATAGGTGTAACAAGCTAGATTGGCCAGTGCGTCTGCCACTCATTCTATTTATTTTTTTCATTCTGTGCCAAACCATCTTCAGTTGCTTCCATGTTTGGATGCCCCCGTGTATCTTTTCAACCTTTCATCCTGTCAAATCTGATCCCAAATTTCCACTAGCCTTAGATTCTATAATTTTTGGGTTACTGTGTAAATCATCAACCTTTTGTGCTAGATGTGCTCTAAACCCTATTAAACTTTGTCAATGCATGCAGGACTACAACTAGAAAGGATAGAACTAAAAATGAGTGCATTAATGGGGAAAGTCAATTTAGATGGTTGGAAACTCCCAACCCAATTAGATCTAAGCTGTGCTGCAGCAGGAGTAATTGTGATCTTATGCTTAATTCTGCCTTTTTTTTTTGTTTCTGCTCTAATATAACTTTCTACTAATTACCTACTCTTTTGCCTCTTGATGCTTCAGCATGAATTTCTACTAATTACCTACTCTTTTGGCTCTTGATGCTTCAGCATGAATAAGACAATAGAGCGCTACCAAAGATATTCAAAAGATGTGCAGGTCGACAGAACAATAGAACAGAGTATGCAGGTCAAGCCTTCTTTTTAACATTCTTTTCTATGATCTGTTATGCTGTTAGGAAGAATTGAGTTGTAGGTGTATATTCCCTTTTACACTACTTGGAAGTACTCACAATCAACTTTTAGTTCTCTAAGCATGTTTTTTTTTTTTTTTCATTAGCAAAATGGTTAATGAAGACCATGAATACTTATATTTATAGTGGTTCCAGTAACTCATTGATGTGGCTGACAGGTCTGTGCTTAACCATGACAAATCCTCTGATACCTTGATAATTATTCATGAAATTGTGGGAAGTAGGTGAAAACACAAACTTAAAGATGTCTTTCTAATCAATCAAATGGTTAATGCCACCTGGAATGAAATAATTTCATCTGGTTTCACCCTGCATTTGAATGCATAAGATCAATATTTTTAAATGAATTAATTATTATAATGTTAACTAAAAACAGAAATAAGATTGTTTCTTGAAAATGCTAACTAGTTCAATTTTGCACCCATAATCATCCCTTTAATTAATGATACCAATTTTATTCAATTGGCCCGAACATTATAGAATGTTAATTAGGAGAAACAATTTCACTTGATGTGGCTCTCACCGCTTACTTGTTCCCTCGTTTTCCTCGAGCTATAGGAGCCAGAAGTGATCCCAAGGAAAACCTCCGGACTCTGCTTTTAATCTGTAACAAACCACCAATACTGATTAGACTCTGCCTTGGCTTTGACTTCCTGAAAGAAATATCTACGACTCTCATTTTCTTGCATAATCAACTGTCACTTTACCTGTACTGATCAGGATTGCCATGTTCCATTTTATGATTCTTGGAATTTCAAAAATAGAGTGAAAATCCAAGCTAAGTCCAAAGATAAGAGTAATGAAAACCTTCTTGCAAATGACGAAGTTGTCACAGGATTTGATGACTTCTCCATGAAGCTCCACCACCTCCTGTAGGCATATCTCTTACTTGAGGACGGGATGGGATTCACACAGCATATAACTTTATCTTTGTCTGTCATGGAAGAATACAACTAGTTACACTCGTTAAGGAGAATGGCTCCTAGCTCTGTTGCCTTGTTGGGGTGGCTATTCCTACTAAAACTTCCTATACTGACCATCATTTGATTTGTCACATAATAGCCAAATACCAATGTATTGGTTCAGTGTATCCTAAAATTGGATGGGTCCAAGCTTTCTCTATCGAATGCTTCCCATTCTGGGGATGTCAAGGACGACCTTTAGACAGCCCATTAGCCAGCCTGAGGCATTGGCACCCTTTGTTAATATCACTTGGATCAAGTTACTATTTGATACTGCAAAGCATTTCCGAGACACCAAAACTCTACCTAGCACTCATTTCTGCTTTCTCACAATAATTGAGTTCAAATACAGCATTTGAAGTACGAAGCTGCGAACATGGCAAAGAAGATTGAACTTCTTGAAGTTTCCAAAAGGTTTGAAGACTACTTTGAAACCATTGAGCCTACTCATACTATAAACAACACTTGCTTCTGTTTTTCTATACATCATATAATTTTTTTCTTTTTGTTGTTCAAAACTTTAAATTGAATTCACTCAGGAAACTGTTGGGAGAAAACTTGGGGTCATGTTCTCTAGAAGAATTACAGCAGATAGAGAACCAGCTAGAGAGAAGCCTGACCACCATCAGAGCAAGAAAGGTACACAATTTGAACCACTGATACTAGATTTTTCGGAGAGTTGTTTCAACATCCCGAACTGATAATTTACACACTCGATGTTACTTGTACTCCAGACTCAGTTATTCAGGGAGCAGATTGAGGATCTAAAGGAAAAGGTAATTTGTAAAACAGAAAGTTTGAAAAAGATGCACTCAGATTATTTCCTTAGATGGAAACTCATAGAAAGAGCTCTTGAAAGACACACTTCTGAGAATTGCACCAAGTTTTCCACTAATTACTATTTTTTCATCAAATTCAGGAAAGACTCCTGGACGAGGAAAATGCAGTGTTACGCAAGAAGGTAATCTACTAATCTTCTTCCCCTCATTTTCATCAATCTCTTATACCTTCTAGCATCAAGAAATTTGAGATTATAGAAAATTCTGCTATCATATCCCACAGCATGCTTTGCACCTCAAAATTGATAAATAATGTCTCGTTGGTTGATTCATTCTTATGCTTCTTGATTTTTAGTGTGGAGGGCAGAAAATGGAACATCCGAACCACCATAGACAAACTGAGTTATTTGGTCAGAGCAATCAAAATGCAGATGTGGAGACCGAACTGTTCATAGGGAGGCCTGAAAGAGCAAACACACGCTACCCATTACAGGACTATTAGTTGGCAATGGCCTAGCATGATACTATCCAATGATGTTCAACCGAGAAACAGCAAACTATTAATTAATTGCAACCAAGCATACAATAACTAGGGAAATAATAATTGGTGCAGTTATGCGTATGTTGTGAGCTAAAGGTTGTAGCGTAGATTATGAATTGAGATCTAGCAGAAACTGTAACAACTCCTCTATCTACTCCAATCTTAATGTGTCATGTACATTTTCGACTTAGTTGTTTTATTCTCAATGAATAAACTGGATTCAAGTGTGAAAATTGGGTTTGATTTGGGCTTTTTATACGAAAGTCATTGCTAAATGGATTTGATAGAAATGTTCCAATTAAGGGTGAGAAACTTAGAATTACTTAACGTGTTGGACAACTGAGGTAGTAGTATTCGGTTGCTTTGGTGCAACAACCGAATATACTAGTCCAAGTCCAGGTTGGTCGGGCCAGTGAAAGCTGGCCGGGTGTAGGTTAAGAATTTATTGGTCTGTGCCGGCCGGATAGAGAAATTAACCAAACAGGTCAAGAATTTAGATAAAAAACCGCCCATGATTATGATTATAGGGGTGTCAATTGGACTGGATTTGGTCTAATCCGATCCAGTCCAGTGTGAGTCCATTATAAATGGACCAGGTCCAATCCAATCCAATGAATATTTTGGGCCGATCCAATTTAATGTTTGGACCGTTCAATCTGTTCAAATTCATTTTGATTTAGATTGATTTCAACTCAAACCCAGTCCATTGACACATATATTCTTATCTTATATCAATGGACCAGATATTAACTTAATCCAACCCAATCCAATATAAATTTATTACAGACGGACCAGATCCAATCCAATCTAATAAATATTTTGGACCGGATTAGTCCAATCCAATCTGCCTTGTTGGCCCATCTAATTCGTCTAAATTGATTTTAAACTGAACGGACTTCAATCCAAAACCGGTAAACCCATGAACACCTACCTACTCCTAGCTTCTCTCTTTCTCTCTGCCACATGACGGAAAAATGGCTGCTCTGCTAATTTTTCTTCTTTTTGGAATTTCAAAATTCCAATGGCTGGTATTATTGGTTGAAGACTTCAAACAGAAGGGGATAACACGGTTGACCACTGACCAGATGCATTTAACGCATTTGCAATACAAAATCTCAATACATAAACAAACAAATAAATAAATAAACGAAAAAGTTATAATCATACTAGAGTGGCAAGGGAGATACCAAATTAAGATGACTGACCTTACAATACGGTAGTTAATATTTACTTTGTTTTGAAATGGTGCAAACCGTGCAATCACTTAGCCTTTGTTTGTTTTGTTCCATTTTGTCCTGCGCTACAATTTTGACCTCATTTCTTGAAGGCTGAGGATTTTTTTTTAATATTTGTTTACATCACAAATAATTGATTTATACTAGATTTTACTTCCGGCATTCTTTTATAATAAATTAATAATACTCATATGGTAGCTACCTTGATATAGAGATTTTTCAGAATCATTTTTTTTTCTAGTAACATTTATTATGACTTACATTAATTTGAAATTTTAATTATGTTATTATTCATTTATTATCTTTTATATTTTTTTGAAGGGTAAATGATGTAAATTTTAAATTTCCTTTTGATCTTTTAATCATGATTTCCCCAGGGGTCCCCGAGGTTATAAGTTTGGGTTTTTTTTGCTTTTTTTTCTTTCTGTTCCAATATTTGATCCTAAGTTTCCGCTACAATCAGCCAATAAAAACATTGCCTAATTATCAACTGAACCGGTTGACACCTTCCATTTGCAAATAGAGGTAGATGGTTCCTTTTGAAACAAAATGGATCATGGGTCTTATCTGTCATGGACATGTCAAATCACCAGATGACAACGTTTACACCTCAGATCTTTGATTTCTACAACCATACACATACATGCATGCATCTCACTTTGTTGATTTGGATTATTGTTTTACTTACTAAGCCAGAGTGGAAGTTTGCACAAAGGAGAGCCGCTCCGATGGGCATATATAATAATCATATAGGACCCAAATCAATATTTCAAATCAACCATGTGTGTCCATGAATTTTGGAAATAATATGCATTGCCCATGCATTATTGACTTAAGGTCAGTTTGGGAGAGCTGAGCTGAAGATTCAGTTATGCTGATTCAACTGTTTTGACAGTCGATACAGTAGATGTTGGCTTTCCTGATTTTTCACCAAATACAATTTTATAGACTATACATGTGGGGTTCACCCTAGAAAGCCTAAAGCTATTGTATCAGGACTCTCATCTAACAGTTTAATCCTTTAGGTTAAACATTCCTTGAGATAGTATCAAAGCTAGGTTGACCAAGTGATCTAGTGTTTGATCCTTACTGTTTTATTATAATTAATTAATTAAATTTCAGCATAAACAATGGGTGGAGTTGTGTTTGTCCATGGTTCAAGCTTAATGGGTTTTAGCCCTTCCAAACCAAACTGAATCAGAGGATCGGACCAGTTGACCTGGTAATCAGTCAGGCAATTGATTATATTTCACCCTAAAACCATTTTTAGTTCAAAAACTGTTGATTTGATCAGTGACCCATTGACCCTGGTGGTCAAACCATTGACCCATCGACCAAGGCAACAATTTTTGGTCATTTTTTATTTTGATAATTTTTTAAATCAGAACAGACCATCCATTCAAACCCAAAAAATGGTCCCAAAATGATTTCATATCGGATTCAGTTTTTAAAACCTTGCTTCCAAATGGACGGTTAATGTTCACTTTACCTTTATGCAAAGGGGTCAAGGGTATTATGTCTTATGCTCAGGTGGCTTAAGAGGCGGCCAAGATTGTACTGATGCTAACATTATATTCCAAATACAGTCATCACCAAATTGACAATAAAGTAGAAACAAGTTTATTTCTTAGAGTTAAGGGTAAAAGGTTTATTACCCAATTATGATCCAACTATCTAGGGTTTTTGGACGGATAGATCCATTACAAATATTACCATTGTCATTTTCTTGCACAAATACCATGTTCTCTGAGGTTTTACTATTACATGGAACATTGGCCCCATTTATATTTTTATTTTGTAATTCATCACTATCGTGTTGATAATTGCTCCATTTAATTTAATGATATGATGCACTTCTGCATGCAAACATCTCTTTAAGAAATGTAAACCCATTCTGGTTTAGTGGATCTTAGACAAAAAGAGAAAAAAAAAAAAAAAGATTGTCCACATTCTTCGCAGCTGTTTGGTATATTCTCTCTGTTTGCAAGCTCCAAGTTCCAACCTAATAGCTATAAACAAATCGTAATGATTTTTTTTCTGATGTTTTAGGATGTGTTCTTCATTCTTCAACATGAATGCTTTTGATTTTCTTGTTTCTAAGAAATGCCACATCAATAAGGAAAAACCAAAACAAAAATGAATTCTTGGATGTGTTCTTTTCTAAAATGAGGTGGAGACATTTTGATTCAGAAAAATAACCCTGTTCCTGAAACCAGCAAAAAGATATCTTCAAAGTTCAAACAAAATCATGTTTTCGATTTCTCATTTGCATAAGACTGACATGGGCCATTGTCCTTCACATCTTCTAACTAGTACTGGTTTAATGTTTCTATGGATCATAAATCCACTCACATTTAAATGGATTTTGATTCATTGGCAATAAAATAAGAAACTTGAGAGGAAAGAAAACATGTTTTGGAAATAAGAAATTCAAGAACAAGAACATGCTTTGTGGATTCAGAATTTGTTGAAACAAGAAAAGTACCACAAAATCAATTTATATTGGAGAAAACACCCCTTAGGTTTCTCATTTGACAAGGTGGAAGATTGCAACACAATTACACAAAAATAATTAGAAACTGACGGATTTCTTCTCTTTTTTTCCTTCTTCTTCTTTGGTGTTGGGAGATTGATAGATTTCATTGTAGAGTCGTAGACAAAAAAATAATAATAATAATAAATCCACATTTCAGGACAGTGGATCCTCTGCACCTGCACCACTGAATAGAATGACATATGCCGGTCAATGTACTATAAATTTTTTTTCTGACATTTTAGGCTTCCCAATTGACCAATAACCGATGATTTTGTTTGTGTAATGGTCTTCAAACTTTTTAAGTACTAATAGAACTCGATAGGTAACTGGCAGTTTTTGTTTTGGATCGATAAGCTTATGAATTTAGCTCAAACCTTTTGGAATGTATATTTTTTTTTAATAGAAATAGGTCTAAAACTTTATGTGATCATATGTGGTGGCTTATAAAGGTTTGGGGGATGGGATTCTCTCCCCACCTGGTTGTGTAGCCTTATGGGTTTGGAGGGTTATGGGTTATGGTTTATGGTTTTGGGCCGGGGAAGGCTCCCCAGATTTGCATAGTCCCATTGAACTAAAAATAAATAGGTATCCTGTATTTTGGTTTAGTCTTATTTTGGTCTATAAACTTTAAAATACAATAATTCAGTACCTGAACTTTCAAAACATGATAATTCGATATCTGTTGTTAATTAGCTGTTAACCAGCCGTTAAGTGACATTTTAGAAAGGCACAAATGCCCTTCGAGTGTCATCTAATTTTCTTTATCAACCATCAAACATTGACAAAAAAATTAATAATCCCAAATCCTTGTATCTTCTATTCAAGAAAGTTGGGGTCACTTCGATATCTGTTGTTAATTAGCTGTTAACCAGCCGTTAAGTGACATTTTAGAAAGGCACAAATGCCCTTCGAGTGTCATCTAATTTTCTTTATCAACTTTCCAAACATTGACAAAAAATTAATAATCCCAAATCCTTGTATCTTCTATTCAAGAAAGTTGGGGTCACCAGAATGCCCACTCAAACGTAACCCGATCTTTCTTGAATGGAAGAAGTAAGGATTTGTGATTGTTAATTTTTTGTGAACGTTTAGGTGGTTGATAAAGAAAATTAAATGACACTCAAAGGGCATTTGTATCCTTTTCAAGTGTCACTTAACTGTAGATTAACTGCTGATTAGTGGCAGGTACTGGATTGTCACATTTTGAGAAATTGGATACTGAATTATCGCATTTTAAAGTTTGAGGAACAAAGTGGCATTAGGCACACAGTACAGGGTACTAATTGGGAATTTTCCCAAATAAATAAGTAGTATATTAAAATGATTTGTCAATTGCATAAGAGGCCATCAACAGCACCCTAAGAAGTAATTTGGGGCACATTGAAAGGGCTAAAAGGGTTAAGTGTAGACCAAAAATTACATGAGCAAAACTGTAAAAGTAATAAGAAAATGATTTAAGTGCCAATAATT